AGACAGATACAATGCCATAGACTCTACCCTCCAAACCAACTATTTCCTCCAGAGGAACTATTGTTGCCAATCTCCAGGGGAGGGCTGGAGATCACTCAGAATTACAACTGCTCTTCAGATGGCAGAGATCAGTTCCCTTGGAGAAAATGGTAAGCTCTGTGTCATTATACTTTGCAGAGATTGCCACAGCAAATTGACACTGAGTGCCCAAGGTCATTTCCACAATGCGCCTTATTCCTAGTCTAGTATAAACTCTGGGCAAGAAGAGAACTTAACCAAGCCAGTGTTACCTAAATTAAGCAAAAGTACGGGGGCGGGGGGGAATCAACATTCGCAAAATACACAAAAATGGACTGAACATGAAACTGATTGAAAATGAAATTGATTTCAGCCTCCCTTTTAAATTCCAGAGAGTAGCATCAAAAAGCGTGTTCCACAGTTTAGACTCTCTAGCCACTGATAGCAACAAAAATGTCCCTCTCTTCATTTCCCATGTAGAAATCCTCCAGCTACTTGTAAGGCCTGAGAAAAGAAGGTACAATCCCTAATACTGTTTGCTAGTCATGGAGGTGCCCTTACTGGGCCAGCCAAATGAGTGTGTGTTATTTATGAAATGCCAACTGATGATTAACCTTTTGCATCAGGCAGCTATTGCAAGGTTGCTGGGTTTAGAAATCACCATCCTCAGCATGTAGCCAAATCTAATTACCAATTACTCAAGCATCCATAAGTTTCAGTCAGCAGCAAGATAATGCACCATTTCCAGGTTTTACATTTATTCTTTGCTGGGGCAACGGGAGTGGGGGAAGGGAAGAGGACCAAGGGAATAAACACAATACAGTTCTTGGCCACAAAAATGTACTGTGGCACTTTAATGCAGGATGAAAATTCAGATCACCAGCAAAAACCCTCCTTAGTAGAAAAACAGGATTTGAGGCAGCAGTTCTTTATGCCTGCTTTAAAAAGAATGCATGACTGTAAATGTGGTTTAGACTCACAGAGACCTTGTGACATAATCTGGCCTGTAGAATGGGGTTTGAGGTTAAGCAATGACTTGTGCTCCCTGGCTATGAATTATCAATAAGATGCTCAGTGGGTCCAGCCACAGGGCATGAGAAAATGGCTAGCTTACTTTACTGCCTGCTGACATCTGGCAAGGATAATACAGCAGCATCTGCTTGAAAAGCTGCCTCTTGATTGTTTTCCTTAGAGTCAAAGACACCGGTTTTGAATAGCACCTAAGAGATACTGAAAATGCAAGGAAGCGAAGGGCTACTTTTCCCTGCCCTGTTACTCCAAGACAAATGATAACAATTACCAGCAGGAAACCTAGACTCTTAGGCAAGGCTTTTGAGAAAATGCATTCTCTGTCTCCTACAGTGGTATAAACCACTTGAACGGGCCACTTAAGGTCAGAACTACATCTTGCAGACAAATGCATGCAATATAAGCCACATTGCTGCTTCTGCTGAGGAAAGGCATCTTTGGATGGGAACTATTTAAAACAGAACTGGAACCGGGAATGCTTACCCATTCTCAGAAACTGATGTCCCACTTGCCCTGCCTTCTCAGCAAGGGTCTAGAAACACTGTCATCTGAGACCATATAGGGAGACAAAGACGTTTGGGGATAGGGGAGAGGAGAAAAGTGGTAGACAAGGGAAGGGTTAAGCACCCCCCTGTTGCTGCTTCTCCACTCCAAATGGTCCTCTCCAAAGCAACTTTTCCACAGAAGGAAACAGCCATTGGTGTTCCTTTACAAGTATTTGTATGAAATGTAGGGCTTCTTCCAAAAACTTCTACAACCATCTAGTAGCCCTACCTATGAAACAATGTGCAGAATTTCCTTGCATGCTGTTCGCAGAGTTTACAGGTGTAGTATAGAGCTCAACTTCATTCCAGTCTTGATTTCTCAATTATTTTGCAAGCAAAATCCCAACTTTGGCAGCAGGCCTACCACCAGTTGTTCTTTCACCTGAAGGCAACAAGTACAACCCAGAGCATGCATGTACCTGTGCACACAGACATGCAGTTCCCAATTCATGGATCTGTTTCACCAGATTGAATCAAGGTATACCCTGACCTAAAGCCCTACAATAACCCAAGCCTGCAAGTGAGATCTGATGCCAGAAATAACATGTATTTCAAGAACAACAAAAGCAAAATATTCTAGACAAACAGAAAGAGGACAGTGCTGTTTTAAAAAGGGGGTTTCCAAACAACTTCCTTTTTACCACCTTATAATGGGTATGTAAGAGGCTTTGTGACAATATCTAAAAATGTTCAAGTGCCACTGAAATGGAAGCTAGGTCACTGGTTTTAGAAATCAGGTTAGCAAGAGGAGCTATTTTTAGTTATAGCTGTAGATCACGGTGGATGGCCTTTATCATGAGTGGTGCAAATCAGCACCACATGCTCTGGTATCACTGCCAGCCTTTCCTCCTCTTCCTCCCCCACTTCATGGGTTTGCAGCAGAGGCACAGGATTATACAAGGCATTTAAAAAAACTGATTTAGAAAATGTATTCCCCTGCTTTTCTGCTACGAAAACAACATTCAAGGTGGTTAATATACCTAAAGAATTCAATTCATTCAAACCACCTGAGGAGCAACTGAAGGCAGGGCATTGGACACTTTAAGGTTTCCTCTGGGCATCACTGCACACCCCAAGACTTCCGGGTGGACTTTGAGAAGAAAATGAATGTCACACAGAGGGACGGGAGGGGGACAAATGTCTGTTGATATCACAGCACCTCCTCCTTTCCCCAAAACCCATCCTGGGCACTCAATGAAATTGCTGAGCAGTCGGGTTAGAACAGATAAAAGAAAGTACTTCTTCACCCAAAG